GGCTGTTTAAAGGGGAAGGGTTAAAGGGCTTTTTTGTGCCCTATCCTGGCAGGACACCCTGGGGAACCCCCAAGGTGTACAAGACCCACCTGCCTACTCACAAAGACCCAATGGTGTGGGAGTTTGGAGCCATTCCTTTTCCCTACTGAGGCCTGCCCACACCTCCTCCATTCTTGTCAAACCGCAGGGGGTAGCAAACAAGTTCCTTGTGAGAAAAATAGACAGCATGGGAGAAAAATGACAACACAACTTGTATTTGTCTGACAGAGAAGCACTGGAACTAAATACAAGACTCTCATTTCCTCAAGGGAATATGATCTTTCCCATTTTTCTTTTCTTTTCTTTTCTTTTTTTGAGATGGAGTTTCACTCTTGTTCCCCAGGCTGGAGTGCAATGGCGCAATCTCGGCTGACTGCAACCTCCGCTCCCTGAGTTCAAGTGATTCTCCAGCCTCAGCCTCCCAAGTGGCATATGCCACCACGTCAGGCTAATTTTGTATTTTTAGTAGAGATGGGGTTTCTCCACGTTGGTCAGGCTGGTCTCGAACTCCCGACCTCAGGTGATCCCCACACCTCGGCCTCCCAAAGTGTCTTTCCCATTTTTTTTTGCAACAAGAGCCTCTCAACCTATATTTTGTTATTCCATTTGGGGTAGAAACACACACACAGAAAGATTTCTTATCATAAAAAAAAAAAAAGTGCAATCTCAGGGCTGGGGACTACTTTAGGGATTGCTGGGGGCTGAGGGGACTGGTCTGTACTACACTTCCTTAAAGAGGCAGCTGCTCTAGTATTGCCTTTGGGAATCGTTAGGGCAGAATATTTGACATTTCCCAATTTTCAACACTGACTCAGTGATTTTTTTAAGCTCTATGCTGGCCCGACAGAACATGTGTTGGTCAGATGTGAGCCATGCCTCCCGCCTGTCACCAGGACAGTAGGGTGTGGTAAGAAGACAGTTTGCCTAGACTACCCAATTCTTGGGCATGTTGCTCTGCTTCCTGCTCAAGGTATTGTGAAACTGCCAGAAATAATGCGGACTGTCAAATCTGACGGAGCTGAGTTTCCATCTTAGCTCTACTTTTACTAGCTACAAGACCTCAGGCAAAAACTATTAACCTCTAGCCTCAACTTCCATTTGCAAAATGGGCTGATAATACCCAACCTAGAGGCATCTGTCAGAATTAAAAACGTGTGGGCCGGGCATGGTGGCTCATACCTGTAATCCCAGCACTTTGGGAGACTGAGGTGGGTGGATCACCTGAGGTCAAGACTTCGAGACCAGCCTGGCCAACATGGTGAAACCTCGTCTCTACTAACGATACAAAAATTAGCCAGGCATGGTGGCTGGCACCTGTAATCCCAGCTACCCGGGAGGCTGATGCAGGAGAATTGCTTGAACCCAGGAGGTGGAGGTGGCAGTGAGCCGAGATCATACCATTGCACTCCAGCCTGGGCAACAGAGCGAAAACTCTGTCTTAAAACAAAACAAAAACCAAAAACCTGTGTGAAGACTACCATGAATTCTTTTTTTTTTTTTTTAAGAGAGTCTTGCCCTGTTGTCCAGGCTGGCGTGCAATGGTGCAAACATAGCTTATTACAGCCTGGAACTGCTGGGCTCAAGCCATCCTCCCACCTCAGCCACCACACTGGCCAATTTTATTATTATTATTATTATTATTTTTTGTAGAGATGGGGGTCTCACTATGTTGCCTAGGCTGGTCTTGAACTCTTGGCCACAAGCAAACCTTCCTCCCCTCAGCCTCCCAAAGGGCTGGGATTACAGGTGTGAGCCACCACACCCAGCCCATGAACTCTTTTTTTTAGCCAATGAACTCTTGATCAACGTTAAATTTCCTTCCCTATCTCCCTAAAGAAGTGATTTAAAGCAATCTTCTTTAGATTTCTTTTTCGAGGCAATATCTTGCTCTGTCACCCAGGCTGGAGTACAGTGGTGTGATCACGGCTCACTGCAGCCTCGACCTCCCAGACTCACACAATCCTCCCACCTCAGCCTCCTGAGTAACTGGGACTACAGGTGTGTACCACCATATCTGGCTAATTTTTATTTATTTATTTTTATTTTGTGGAGTAAAGGTCTCACTATGTTGCCCAGGCTGACTTCCTTATATTTCAATGTTCCCATCTGTTAAAAACCAAAATTACCCTCTATCACCACTGCTCCGCCTCACAGGATGGGATGAGGTGCTGTACATGAAAGCTAAGTGCTTATGAATCTAGAAGAATACCGTTGACTAGATTGCCAACACCCTTTCCTATCATTTCTAGCCCAACAGGGGAGCAATTTGCTTTTCTAATGCATTTATATCCTTAATAATGCGAATCAGGGCGAAATAGTGTCACATTTGTGGTAAGTCCTTAAAATAGCTATTAGCAATCAACTCTCCAGAGTCCAAATCTATCACCCTCCTACAGAGGAGAGTAAACATTAGTTTGGTCACTAAAGGGCCTGGCAAGTTTCTTTTCTCTTTCCATGCTCTTTTAGGGAACTAGAGAGGAAACTGAGGTATAAAATGAAGTTACGTGACAGTTGTACACTTCTTTTATTCATACCAAGAAAACAGAGCCACAAACCAAACAATTTCACTTCATTTAAGTACCATGATTAATTCACTGTGGTATTTCCCCCTACTATAAGGGGATTTTTGTTGGTTGTCTCATTATTTTCCCATCACAGCAGTGAAATTAGGACATGCTTCAGCATTCCTCAACTGAATCTTAAAACATCTTTACATCCTTTAGATTAGTGAATCTACACGAGCAAGGTCTAGGCTGAGGAGATTCACTGAACACTTCAACTTTTAACTGTCCCAGATCTCATCTCTTTGACTTGTTTTATCCTTAAATCCAAAGGCATTCCATTCAGTTATACTGAAGCTACTAAAAAATGTGGATTTGCCTTTCGGGAATATACCTCCCCTTCCTCCCTCTATTAACTTCAACAGCTCCCTGTCAGAATCACCACTTTTCCAAATTACTGACCAAGCATGACAGAATGAGTAGAAATTATAGGCTAAATCTGGAGAAAAAAAATTTAGAGCAAGCCTGATGAAGATATAGCTATTACTCCTTCCTTACCCTCCTACAAGCATGGTTCTTGAAAAAAATGTGTTAAACGCCATGCAGAACTTTTAGGAGTCAGTGCTTTGCTAAATATTTACATGTCATGATCCCTAAAGCAAACAAGGTAACGATGAAACAGGCAACACAACACAGCAACAAGCAGCCCTCCACTCATTTTGTGCTTTGTTTTTATCATGTACACGTTTTATTGATGCATACAGTGCTTCCAGAAGTGTACATAAATCCTAAGTGTAAACAGACATGTGTGTTCACTACTCTGAACTCTGTTTTTTGATGAGCATAACTTGGAAGGGATTTGGGCAATTAGGCAAAACTGCTAACACACTTTATACAATCCGCCCGACTGGAGGCAATGAACCCCCAGGCTTGCTAATGCCCTTTGTATAAAAAAAGCTGACCTAGCCTCCACCTGCATCAACTTGATCCGCTCAGCTTTGTCACACTCAGCAAACACCCTCTGCCTTCTGAGCAAAATAAATCAGCACCTCCAGTAGGGAGAAAAAAACTTTTTATGACCGAGTCTGGAGAAGCGGCCTTGACACCCAATTTACAAAAAAGGGACTGTGGAAGACCTCGCATCTAAACTCAGCTGCAATACCAAACCTACCTTATGCAAAAAAGCTCCACAGGTGGTGGTGTTCTGTTTAAAGGAAAATGCCAAACACACACAAATACTGAAATAGTGTAAGGACTTCCATAACCATCATCCAGCTTCAACTATTTTTATTTCTGTTTTACTTTAAGTTCTGGGATACATGTGCTGAACGTGTAGGTTTGTTAATAGGTATACACATATACATGTGCCATGGGGGTTTGCTGCACCTATCAACCCGTCATCTAGGTTTTAAGCCCTACATGCATTAGGTATTTGTCCTAATACTCTCCCTCTCCTTTGCCCCCATCCTCCAACAGGCCCTCCCCCCCTGGCATGATGTTCCCCTCCCTGTGTCCATGTGTTCTCTCCAGCTTCAACTATTAACAATCCATGAACAATCTCCTCTCATCTTGTTCCCCTCACTTCTCTGCTAGCATCTAAAACTGAATAATTCTGAAGCAAATCCTAAAGTAGTATTTCAACTTCAGTGTGTGTCTCTACAGGGATTTTTAAAGCCTTAGTCATGATACCATTACCAAAAGTAACTAAACAGAACTATTATAATTTCCTTGATACTATTAAATAATCAGTAGAAATTTCCTTCATCGTCTCCTTATTTATTTATTTATTTTGAGACGGAGTCTCGCTCTGCCTCCCAGGCTGGAGTGCAGTGGCACGATCTCGGCTTACTGCAATCTCTGCCTTCGGCGTTGAAGTGATTCTCCTACCTCAGCCTTCCCGAGTAGCTGGGATTACAGGCGCGTGCCACCACACCCTGCTAATTTTTGTATTTTTAGTAGAGAAGGGTTTCACCATGTTGGCCAGGCTGGTCTCGAACTCCTGACCTCAGATGATCCACCCACTTCGGCCTCCCAAAGTGCTGGGATTACAGGTGTGAGCCACCGCACTCAGCCATCATCTCCATTTTAAAAAACATTCATCAAATCAGGATCCAACCAACGTCCGCACCTTGTATTGCCACCGAATGTCTCTTAAATCGTTTTGAAATTGCACACAAGGTCCTCCTCCCTGTAATTCTCATACCAGCCAGGCTGATTCCCACTGACAATTTCCAAATAACTATAATAACTCTGTTCTGGAGATATCACAAGTAAGTGCCGGTCTTAGAGCTTGTCAAATGTATACATATATGTTTATATTTATATATAAATGCACAAAGTACACACGAAACCATTTCACTCGAAGCAATAACAATACTGAGAGCTAAACACTCGTTCATATGTCTTGCTATGCTTCTCGACGGGGGTTATCTCTGGGATTTAAGCAACACTTCCCCTTACCGGAGACATTTGCGCAAGTGTAGGACGAAGCCGGAGCGGTTCCTCCCAGCCGAACCTGCCTCCGGAGGTCGGGTAAGTGCGTTCGCCTCCGGACTGCAGGGGGCGGCCCTGCCACCACCTCGAGGCCACCTGCGGAGATGAGAAAGGAGTTTCAGCCGCTGGGTTCTCGGGGGTGGACGCAGGTAATCTAGAGGGAATTTTGAGCCAGCCAGGATGGTCATCCAGGAACCTACCGGGACGCAACGGCCTCGAAAAACAAACAGCCGGGCAAGGCCCTGGGGCTTAATCCCAGTGGCCTGCGCGGGCGGGGGCTCAGTCCCCAACGCCCGAGGCCAGGGGAGGGGACGCAAAGTTGGCCCCAATGAATGCGCGCGCGTGTGTGTGTGTGTGTGTGTGTGACTGTGTGTGTGACTGTGTGTGTGTGTGTGTGTGTGTGTGTGTGACTATTCACCTCTGGGCGCCAGGAAAGAGCGAAGAGTTGCATACACCCACTTCTGTAACCTTGCTGGGTTTGTCATGCTCAAAAAGCATCTCCCCTGGAGAGAGGGTGGCGAGTCTCTGGGTGTGGGACACGCCCATTCCCCGGACCCCATGCCCTCAAACCCACGACGGACCTCAGTTGCTAAGGCTCCTCTGTAATCCCCATCCCGAAGGTGGGAGGCTCGGGCGTCCGCGCCCTACTCCTGGATCTCTTAAGTAGCAGAGAACCCCCAACCCCTGAGTTCCTGCAAAGGAAATTCCTTCCCCTCCCAGACGCCCTGAGCGCCCGGCCAGGGAGGCCGGGAGCGGCGCGGGGACAGTTGGCCGCCCGGCGGCTGGGACGCCGGTTGCGAGAGCGCTGGGCGCCCTCCACCCGCGTCCGCACTCACCCGAGGATCGATGGTGTCGGCTCCGCAAGGTTGAGGGCCCGGCACCTGCGGCGCCCGTGCCCAGGTGACTGCCCGAGGGAGGGGCGAGGGCCCAGCGCGCTGGCCTGGTCCAGCCCCACCCCGCGCGCTCCCGGGAGGGGCGGGGGAGCACGGCCCCGGGACCCCGCTGCGACCCCGCTGTGGCTCAGCCGGCTCCAGGCCAGGAAATGCGGGCGACAGAGCCGGGCAACCTTTGAGCGCGCACGCCCCGTCCGGGCCCGACGAAACAAGGGCCGGAGGGCGCCGCCTGCCGGCTGGACGGAAAGATATCACGGAGACTGCCACCGCCCGCCGGCTAGGAGGGGGCTGGGTTGAGGCTGGCAGAGGGACCCCCAGGGGTGCGCAGTGCGGGAGCCGCTGGGGGCTTAATGCGACCCCCTTCCTCGTGCCACGTCTTGAGGACCCAGCTCCTGTCCTAGGAGCTCCCCATCTCCCCAGCAGGCAGGGCGAGCGGGGGCCACTGGGTCAAAACTTCTCCTTCCCTTACCTCTGCAAATTTAGACTTGGCAGTTGTCTCCAGATACACAGGGTGGCCAGGCGATGGCTCATGCCTATAATCCTAGCACTTTGGAAGGCCAAGATGGGCGGATCACTTGAGGTCAGGATTTCGAGACCAGCCTGGCCGACATGGTCCACGTTGGTCCCCATCTCTACTAAAAATACAAAAATCAGCCGGGAGTGGTGGCACGCACCTGTAATCCCAGCTATTCGGGAGCCTGGGGCATGAGAATCGCTTGAACCCGGGAGGCAGAGGTTGAGGTGAGCTAAGACCGCACCATTGCACTCCAGCCTGGGCAGCAAGAGCGAGACTCCGTCTCAAAAAAAAAAAAAAAAAGTATACACAGGGTGACAGAACTTGAAACTTGTATGCTTCTAAGCAACCACCTGCAGTGTACTGTGAATTCAGATTTTTAAATAAAAATCTGCAAATATTAAATAGCACATACATTGCATTGCCCTTTTTGTGTCAACAGTGCTAATTTGTTGTCATTCAACAAATATTTGTTGAGCACCTATGACTTGCTGGTCATTTAAACATTTAAAATATCGAACAATTAGGCTGGCTCAGTAGCTCAAGCCTGTAATCCCAGCACTTTGGGAGATTGAGGCGGGTGGATCACTTGAGGTCAGGAGTTCGAGACCAGCCTGGCCAACATGGTGAAACCCCATCTCTACTAAAAATACAAAAATTAGCCAGGCATGATGGCACATGCCTGTAGTCCCAGCTACTTGTGAGGCTGAGGCAGGAGAATGGCTTGAACAAAGGAGGCAGAGGTTGCAGCAAGATCACGCCATTGCACTCCAGCCCGGGCAACAGAGAGAGGCTTCATCTGAAAAAATAAATAAATAAAATATTGCATAATTTCTTCCTTCTCTTCATGCAGAGCCTTGAACAAGGGGAGTGTTCTGGGCCTCTCAAACTCTCTGAGTGTCATAGCAGTTCAAGATTAGAGATGACCAGGTCCATACACGTTTGTATCGCTCCACAATATCAGTCTTTTTTTTTTTTTTTTTTATGCTATTTCAATCACAAAATCCAGAAGCTAGATGGAGTTCCCAAGGAGACAATTCTCCTTAGTCCTTCCTGCTCACTCTGTAGTCAGAGCACATAGGTTCAAGCCACTCCATAAGTCAGTAAATATTGCAAACCATACATACTAGTATACTTAATCACTATACGAATGTTGTAGATTAAACATTCCACAACAAACAAAGTAATATTTAACATCAAGAGAAAAAAGAGATAGGCGAAAGGGTGAATGAACCAATCCGAAGGGAGTGAAGAAGACATAGGGAGTCCTGGTCTGGGCCTGGTGGTCTTGCAAGGAAGAGTCTTTGATGTGGCAGAGCTTTTGGTGGCAACTTCTGAGTTCTTATCACGAGTGACTGCAAGATGGTGTTAGTGAAGACAGACAAGCTGAAGGCTTGGCTCTTTTACAGTCAGAGGGTCCTCTGGTGAGAACTGATAGTGGATGAGTGTGCTTGTTTGTGTTCTTGTTTAAAACCTGTTCATTAAGCAAAACATCTTATCCTTGTTAGCAAAGTGCCTATGAAATATAAAATGGAGGGTTTTCCTAAGATAGAATTAATTATGTCAAGGGTGGTTTATACACTGAGAGTCTGGACTAGCCTTGGAAGGAACCCAGTAATTGCCTAAGGGTGCAATAAGAACGCTGATATAATTGTGGGTTGCTAGGGAAACTGAGGAGCAGCTTCACCCAGCCTGGAGTGACAGAGAGAATTTCCTGGAGAAGTGCAGAGGCCAACTGAATCACAGGGGACTACCAGGTTCACCAGGATGTGAGGTGCTTCTGCCAAGATTCCACCGTGTGCAAAGTGAGAAGTGGAAAGCCAGGCAGAGAGTGCATGTTCTAATAAGGGAATGGCAAGTGGGTCAGTATACCTGACAGGGAGAAGATGGGAGTTAAGTTAGAGCAGAGGGCATGGGGGCCAAATCATACTCATAACAAAAATAACCATCGTCTATGGAGTGGATAGTATAGAACAGGAGCTGGACATATATCACTTCAAATGAGCCTCACACCAACCCTACAAGGTAGGGTTATTACTCTCCTTTATAGAAGAGGAAAATGAGAGCTGGGCGCGGTGGCTCACACCTGTAATCCCAGCACTTTGGGAGGCTGAGGTGGGCGGACTGCCTGAGGTCAGAAGTTCAAGGCCAGCCTGGCCAACATGGTAAAACCCAGTCTCTACTAAAAATACAAAAATTAGCCAGGCATGGTGGCAGGTGCCTGTAATCCCAGCTACTCAGGAGGCTGAGGCAAGAAAATCGCTTGAACCCAAGAGGCGGAGGTTGCAGTGAACCGAGATCACACCACTGCACTCCAGTCTGGGCGACAAGAGTGAGATTCTGTCTCAAAAAAAAAAAAAAAAGAAAAAAGAAAAAAAAAGGAGGGGAAAATGAGACCCAGGAAGGAGAGATATCTTGCTAGTGACAAGGCTGGGATAAGGTAGCTCTGAGCAGCCAGGCTACCCTGTCAATGCCTCTCTCCAGGCAGATCTGGGAGGCTGGATTTATCTTCAAATACTTTCAACATCCCCCAAGTGCCTGCCACTCTCCCACCATTTCCTAAGCCCGTGTCAACAACTACCCTGAAGTCCCTCTGTCTGTAGATGATGTGTACTTGGGTCCGCACACTAGACTCCTCCTGAGGGGAACTCTGTCTCAAGGGCTGGTGGAGGAAGTGTGGCAGACAGAGACCTTGGTTGCTCCCCACTGTCCAGTCTTTCCTTCTTCTGTAATAAAGTCATGTGCTGCAATGACGTTCTGGTTAACAATGGACCACATCTACAACAGTGGCCTCACAAGGTTAGAATGGAGCTGAGAAATTCCTATCACCTAGTGATATCTTGATGATCCTGACCCTGTGTAGGCCTGCATCTTCGTTTTTAAGAAAAAAAGTTTAAAAGGTAAATAAATACATTTTCAAAATGGGAAAAATAAGCTTATAGAATAAGAATAGAAGAAAATATTTTTGTACAGCTGCAACGTATTTGTGTTTTAAGGCGTTATTATTACAAGAGAGTCAAAAAGTTTTTAAAAATGTAAAGTTTACAAAGTAAAAAAGTTACAGTAAGCCCAGATTCACTTATTATTGAAGAAAGAACTTAAAAAATAAATTTAGTGTAGCCTAAATGTAGTGTTTATGAAGTCTGCGGTAGTGGACAGTAATATCCTAGGCCTTTGAATGCACTCACCCACAGCAGCTTCCAGCCCTGCAAGCTCCGTTCATAGTAGATGCTCTGTACGGGTATAGCATTTTAATCTTTTATGTTGTATTTTTGCTGTGCCTTTTCTATGTTGAGAGACGTAAATTCTTACCATTGTCTGCAGTATTCAGTACAGTTGCCTACAGTATTCAGTACAGTCACAGGCTGTACAAGGAGCAATAGGCTATACCGTACAACTTAGGTGTGTAGTAGGCTCTACCATCTAAGTTTGTGTAAGTACACTCTATGTCCACAAAATGAAATTGCCTAAAGACACATTTCTCAGAATGTATCCCTGCCATTAAGGGACAGTAATAGAACTGAGCTAAGCCCAGAGCTTCTTGGAACAAACACTATCTTTCCCTGCCTCCTTGTGGCAAAATGCATCAACAGTGGATGCATTTTTTCCTAGAAATCCAGAGTCCAGTAGTACTTCTGAGGCGGCTTCTCCTCTCCCAACATCCCTGATCCATCAGTTCTTTACGGGACACTGCTAACTGCCTCCTCAAATCCATTCTCGCCTTCTTAACTTCTAAGAGAACCCAGATTTTGTTCAGGGAGGCAATGTGCCAAGCTAAGATGCCCACCTTCGCAGAGGTCATCGCAGGGGTGATCACATGACATGGTTCTGGCCAATGAGATGTAGGAGGAAATGGTCACACGACATAATTCTGGCCATTGAGCTATAGGAGGACGTCAGCTGGCAAGTCCTGGGAAGGTTTTTGCTTTCCCGTTGCAGGTACCACCCCTTTTCTCAGCCTCCTGTTTCCTTCCTGCTTTGAGATTGCTGTGAGGTTACCCTGAGGCAGGAGGCGGAGCAGTAGTCTTAGACTCTGGGGCAACCCACAATAAAGGTGGAGCCGCACCCACCCTGTATCTAGCTCCAGATGTCTAACTACCTGAGAAAAGCAACCCCCTTACTTAAGTTCAAGGTTTGTTCTATGGAATTGAATATTATCCCACTAGATATACTATTCTTCCCAAAGAAAAGCCTTGTCAACTAAAAATAAAATCCTAAGCCCCCCACCGACTGAAATAAACCTCTCTTGGCCAAGGGGACCCCAGAAAAACCTTAAACTGAGTTCCTGGCCATGACAAGATGGGAGGTCAACCACATCTCGTTCTACCCCTCTCTTTTATGGTTTAGACACAACTGACCAGCATTAATGTTAAAATAGAGATCATAAGGCTGACAGAATAGACTCTTTGTGGCAATAAGATACCAAATTATAAACAGGACATAGGCCTATGTTCTAACTATATTATGTGAAAGGAAAATATCTTGGGACCCCCAGATCACTAAACTAAAGGGAAAAGTCCAGCTGGGAACTGCTTAGGGCAAACCTGCCTCCCATTCTATTCAGAGTCACCCATTAGTTATTGGCTAGTATAAATGGAAGAGGCTAATCAGAAACTCAAAAGAATGCAATCATTTATTTATTCTCTACCTATGACCAGGAAGCCTCCTCCCTGCTTCAAGTTGTCCTACCTTTCCAGACCGAA